TGGGTGCACAAGGTTGGCACATGACTGACATCATGAAACTTTGTCTTCTCTCCCTGGAGAGATCTCGAGCTAACACTGCTGAAAAAATGTGCAGAGCTGAAGTCTCCCTCTACCACCCTGTCCTAAATGATTGTACATGTGCTCAGTTCCTCACCCAAATGGTGAAATAAACCAAATGGAACATTAGTGTGGTGTCCCCATCCCAGCCAGTGATAGCCCTTTTTATTTAACCTGAACCCATGGTGCCTTAGCTTACCAAAGCTATACCTTCTCACTTGCTGGGATGATTGGAATTTAGTTTTGAAAACCCATCCTTGCTATGTGCTTCATCTGTTCCCATATCCATTTATTCTTTTATCCATCACATACTCATTAACCCCCCCCAAAGGCCACAGACCCTAAGACTAAAGCTATACTCCCAATTTTCCAGGAATCCGTGGTCTGCATTAGGCAGTAGACCACTTGAGGGGCACAGGCCAATTGATGAAATGATCAGAATAAGAGTAGAAGTCTGAGGTGAGGTAGGATTGCCTAACGTGTGGAAGGAAGAGGAGAGCTGTGGTCTCTGAGCGGATTCCAGGAGGACATGTGAGAATCAGGGAGCTGAGAAGCAGCTTGGGAGAACACACAAGGGCATCCAGTCATGGCTGGATTGAGAAGTGGTGAGGCCTGAGACTTGAGTGTAAGGGAGACAAGAACTCCACCTCCAAGAAGCTTGGAGACACTTGTCTCCTTGGCTAGTTCATTTGAGAGGTCTTGCAACTTGGATGCTTCATAACTTCTTCACTGAGTTGACACTGGAGTCGTCAGGGAAGACTTGCCATTTCCTCGTGGCTGTTGGAGACAGCAGGAAGTGTGTGCTAGGAGAGGCGGGGCATGACAGCCGTTTGCTTTCACATCCATTTCCCTTCCTGTGGAGCTCAGGTGCACTGGGTAAGTTGGAGAAAGGTCCCTCATAGTGTAGAGGCTGGGAAGCTTTGCACAGGTCTTTTCCCTAAAGAAGGGAAGCCAATAATGACTTAGACGAAGCCCTTGATGGCTGCTTCAGACAGTAGTTCTTGGCAGATTGGGGATGAGCGAGGAAGCCAGGGCTACCCTGCAGAGGAGCATGCCCACACCAGGCAATGTTGCCCACCTTTTGAAATACCGCTTCTTCTGTCCTTATCACCTGGGCCTCCTCATGGTGCCTAGTGTCAAGCTGACACTCTAGAATCACCCGGGAATTGGGCCTCCGGCCATGTCTACGGAGTATTCTCTTTACTGGACTGAGGTGGGAAGGTCTGTCTACTGCGGGCCACGCCATTACCTGGGCACGGACCCTGGAGAATATAGGAAGAGAGTGAGAGTGAAGCCACAGCAGCATTCATGCCTTGGTTCCCCACTGTGGATTTGATGTGATCAGAATGTCAAGCCTCCACACCCTTGACTTCTCTACAACATGAGTGCACCTTGAACTGTGAGCTGAAATGAACACTTTCTCTCTTAAGCTGTCCTTGTCAGAGTATTTGTACCACAGCAACAAGAAAAGAAACTAAGACCAGTGCTGTGAATAATTCTTTCGTGCACTGGGGATAGGTATTCCTCTCATTGATTAATCATAGAAGCTGTTTGACCGATAGCCAGGCAGGATAAGGCTAGGTGAAGCAATCAGACTGAGGACTCTCAGATGGGGAGGGGTGGAGTCAGGGGAGACATGAGCCAGCCACCCAAGAAGCAAGATGCCAGAGGACCAGTAAAGCCATGGTCATGTGTCAATACATAGATGAATAGAAATGGGTTAATTTAAATGTAAGAGCTAGTTGGCAATAAGCCTGAGCAACCAGCCAGGCATTTTGTAATTAATATAAGCTTTTGTGGGATTATCTAAAACCTGGCAGTTGGGACAAAAGAAAAGCCCTGTCTCCATTTACAGACCCAGCAGGCATTTCCGAGCAATGCTATTTCTACATATTCTGTAGCCCTGTGTAAGCCTGGCCCAGCCTTTGTGGACTGCCCAAGCAGGGCCTCAGTGTAGGCTCTGTCTACACATGTGGTTCTGTGTGACCTTCCTCTAACCCACTTCCACATTGTTGTGAATGAGGGTTCAGAAATGCCATTGTCCCATCCTATCAAAAATCCTCATTGTTCTGCAAAGCTGGGGGTGGTTCTTATTTCCCAGTGCCCAAGTATTGAAAGGTGGTCAGAAACAGCCACAGGACACAGAAGCTTGTGAAATACTTCATAAGAAGAAGCCTCCAATTCTCCCCAGCCACCCACATGCAAAGCCTCTGCTAGGGCTACTAGTTGATATTCCTGTCAGTCATACACATGGTTCCCCGATACCTCTGCCTCTGTGAGTCACAATGTCTGGCAGGAGCATGGAGGAACAAGGGAGCCCTCCCCTCCAAAATAGTCTCCAAGTGACTTCCAGAATCTTCTCCCTTTAGAGGACCATTCAGTCGTTTTTATATTGTCCAGCACACAAGTCCTTTCTTGTCACTTTTCTCCAAGGGCAGTTATTAAGAAATGATCCTTTCATAGAATTGGAATATTCTTCCAAAGGGCCGAGGGAGGAATAGGAAGCCAGGCTTTGTGCTGTTCTCTACAAAACATGACACCAATGTCACTTCATCCCTGTAACTAAATAAATAAGCTTTCTAAAAATACCGCCAGATCGTGCTGGGCCATCCAAACATATTTGCAGTAATGTAGCAAATAATTTGAAATGACTGCTATTTCCCAAGTGTTCCCTTTATATTAAAATTTTTATCATGTTAAATATAATCTTATGTTAAGAAAATCAAATCACCAGGGTGTCCTCCACATTCATTTTTTCCTTTCCTTCATCTCTCATGTTGCATGCAAATTAGGTTGAATGTCAGCGGATGTTGCTGGTCAACAGTTGACTTTTCTCTCCCTTTTCTTTCTGGGGGACTTTTCTTGAGGCTGGAAATGGCTCCAGAAGCTTCCTCCAGGCTTCGTGCTCATCCTTCCCACCTTTCAATCTCAGAGCCCATCCTTAGGGCACACTGCCCCACGAAACCCCGTGCTTTCTAAGGTCATGTGGGGACATCCTTTGGTAACCATGGAGTTATGACAGCAACCAGAAATCCAATCCAGCAATGGTGAAGCAACACATATAAATTAAGTTACCTTTGAGTGTTTGCTTATTATCTTTTTCTCAAGTTGAATCTCATCAGCTGCAATGAGCTTCGGTCTCCTGGGTATGAAACTTAACATTATTTGGTTTTACTGAGAGAATGTGCAGACATTATGCTTGAAACCACTCAGGCTGGAAACATGCACACAGAGAGTCCCTTTCTTTAAAAGAAAGTGCAGTCATCATCACCACCACAGAATTTGTTGCCACCACCATCATATTCACCATCACTGCCACCCTCTTCACAATCACCATCATTCTGACTGCGGCTATCACTAACACCATCCTCACTATCATCAGTCTTCACTGCTACTATTCATCACCATCATTACCACCATTGTCGTCATCATCACCATACCATTACCATCACCGCCATCATCATCACCAGCATCACCATCAATACTACCGCCACCATCATCATTGTCATCACCACCATCACCATTACCATCACTACCACCATCATTGTTACCATCACCACCCCCACCACCATCATCCTCATCATCACCACCTTCCCCGTATTCCCATCATCAGTATCATCACCATCACCATCAACCATCTCTGCCTATTCTTAGATTTTCCTAAACAAGGGTAAGCTTGTGTCCTTCTCATCAAATTCTCATACCGCTCAGCAGGGCAGGCGCTTAATGCTGCTGCATTTCAGGTGACACCCAGTGGCCTGCTGTGCTTCCTTCGTGCCACAGCACATGCACACATTTCCTTTTCTGTTACCTAATTCTTCTGTCTTCAGGTAGAACTGCTGTCAAGTATCCTGTCGTGTGTCTGAGCAACTACTGAGGGTTGCTTAAGTCACCCCCAGGTCTCGCTGATCACAAAGTTAATACTGTCTCTGTTTTAAAGAGCTACAGTGGATTACCCAGTGCTCAAGCACTGAGGGTGTCTGCTTAGAGAATAATCACCTGTGCTCTGGCGTGGGAAAGCTGTGTCCTGGATACCTGAGGACAGCACTCAGATAGATGGGAGGCTGTGCCAGGATGGCTTTACACCATGTACCTTTTCTTGTGCATGTGGCCTTAGCTGGTTTTCTCTGATATTCCCTTCCTGTGAGGTCGCCCCTGCAGGCAGAGCCAGCATGGACTGTGCTCTTCTCGAGGCCCTGGACTCATGCTGTGTTGACTCTTGTACTCCCTCAGCACCCAGAACAGTGCACAGCTGAGTGAGGGGGCCGCGGCCAAGCAGACGGCTTGCTTTTGTTTGCTGACAGTGGCAATGGATCGTCCAACTCAAACCATCTTGAGTCAAGAAGCAGCCCTTGGTTCAGGGGTCACCAGGTCTGGGGTTGGCCTCTAGGTCTCACTGAGGCTTGCTGAGCCTCATCCTCTTTCCTTGCCTGCCCCCTCTCTCGGGGATCTGTTCGTTCTCTGCTTCCCTTTCTCCCTCCCACAGAAGGAGCACCTGTTTCGTGCATAGATACTATGTGTCAGGAATTATTCTCCACCCAGAGGAGGAAGCAACTAAAGCAATTGCCACCAACCCTTAGCTCCCCTCTATGGATTGTTCCAGAAAAATTTTAATAGAAGCCCAGAGGACTGTATCACTTTAGTTGCCTGGCATGGGTGACCCACGTGACCCCAGAATGGGTGATAAGGTCACCTGCTGAGGACTAGAGGGGTTGAGCTGAGTGGGAATGTGGCCCCCCAAAGGGAAGTTGGTGTTGCCAACAGGGTAAAGCATGGAGCTGCTAAAAAGAAAGCGCCGGACACTACCCACTCCCAGGGATGGGTCCTTGGTGTGTGGGCTGCTGGTTCTATGGTGCTGACAGTCTTGCCGGCATGTGTCTGTCACTCAGGTCTCCGGGAGGCTCTGCCCTGCTGACTCACCTCTCTCTTCTGTTTGACCCCAGCTCCAGATGAAGATGAGTGAGAGGGCTGCCTCACTGAACACCGTGGTGCCCCTGCCCCGCAGCGCCTACTGGCAACACATTACAAGACAGCATAGCACAGGGCAGCTGTACCACCTGCAAGGTAAGTGGGCACATAGTGTGCGGAGGGGCTGGGGGGGCCTGGGTGCTCTGAGGAGGGGCTTGGCTACGCTGAGCTCCTCCTCCGAGGCCTCATGACCCTGGATTTTTCATCTTTCTGGAGTCCAACCCTCAAAGCTTTGCACCTAACACAGTGTCCTCGGGAATTTGTCTAAATGGGAATTCTTGAGCTCCCAGACATAGCGTCCCTGGGGCCTGAGGTACCAGAAAGTGGCTCGGCAACCAGCCTTCCTAGGGACGCCCATGCAAAGTCTGGTCAAGGACTGGAGTCCAGGTTCTATAAACAGCCCCGTGGGATGAAGACTAATGGGTTACCATTGCTAGGGACTTGTTAGTGCCGGTTTCCAGTACTTTCTCCAGACATTTGAAAATGGGAGGGTTGGGGCTCCTTCAGCCTCCAGTGCTTGAGCAAGATCCAGATGCTTCCCCTGAACGCTCTTGGTAGGGACCACAGTTCCAGGTCCCTCCCGGAGGGCAGGGAAGCCAGGCTCCACTTAGATCCCACTCATTCCTCTTGAGAAACAAATCCTGTGAAGTAGGGTATGGGTCTGCTCACCGGATCTGCTCACTGGTCTGCTCTCAAGATCTCCCAGTTCAACACTGGATTTAAGACCTTTCTTATCCTGATAAAGTTGCCCTCTGACATTTTACAGTAAGGAAGTTACCTTGCTCATCTCTGACTGATACTTAGGCTGATCAGCAAACCCGTGCGGGACATCCTTGCCACAGGACTTGGATGGTGTGTGTAGCCCTTACACTGGAAAGATCTTGCCCTAGACTGAACTCATTGAACTCGTGAACGTAGCAACCTAGGTTCCTGGGTTCATCTCTGTTTCTGTGACAAAATCCCTGACCGAGAGCAACATGGAGTGGGGGGCATAATTGTAGCAGTCTCAAACTGTAGTACACTTAGGGGTTGTCAAGGCAGGAACTCAAGCAGTTGGTCACCTAACATCTACAGTAAAGAGCAGAGAAACCGCTCAATGATCACAATTTGAATGTCATTGTTTAAACATGTGGCTACTTTATTAGTATCGACTGCCCTTCTGGGGAACACTAATGTCCAGGAGGGCAGGCATGTCACAGCTGGTTTTACCCTGTTATCTGCTGTGTGTTACCTAGCAACACCATCATTTTTTGATAGGCGGGATGTGAGACCTCCCGAGGCAAGGTCTCATGTAGCCCATGCTAGCTCCAAACTCTTCGTGTAGCCATGGAGGGCCTCGAACTTCTGATGCGTTTGGCTCCAGATCCTGACTTCTGGGATTGTGATACCATGCCTGAGGAATGGAACCCAGGGCTTTGCGCATTCCAGCAAGGAGTGTACTGAGTGACCCACTTCCCCATCCCTGTGGAGTCTTCCTGGCTCCACATTCACCATGTTCACTAGCGGTGATGGTGTGCATAGCTGTTGGAAAAGTGGGATCTTGAGTGCCTGGATGAGCAGACAAGGGAAGGGCCTGACTGCTCAGATCGCCTGCATTGATGGAGTTCAAGCTGAAGTTTCCTGGCATCTCTAGTGATCACTGTGAGAATTACATGGACCTCTAAAGACCTTATCTAACTGGTTCAAGAAAAAATAGGCTTCACCTTCCAGACTGTAGGCCTACAGTGCCACCTGCTGATCATCCTAGGGATAGTGTTTTATTATCAGCTGCTCAATGGGGAAGCTTTACATTCAGCAAGGTGTACTCAATTCATCTCTGCTCCTCCCATAGTCTCCAGTTTTCCTGTAGAAATGGTCTTCTATGATTAGGAGAAAGCAAAGCCAACACATGAAGGCCTCTTTAGCATACAACCTTGGAGAAATCTGTGAAAGACAAGTAGCCAACAACAATTTCCTGGCCCACATATCCAGGGGAGATTTCTGCAATGCAGCAGATAAAACAATTAGTAACAAGATTTCACAGTGTAGACCATGACAACATTTTCACAGTATGAGCACTGGTAGAGAGCTCACAATTGCACCCTGCCAGCAAGGCACCTCAGTGAATAAATACACCCAACCTGGAGCCTCAGGACCCACACGATAGAAGAGAGAACTCAGTCCCTCAGACCTCTCAGCATGTGTGTAGTGACGTGAGCACACGCATGTCAAACAGACAAAATATATATAAAATATCAACAAAGAAGTTATTGTCTGGGAGGTACCCAACACACTTGCGTTTTAAACCAGTGCCTAGCAAAGGTGTTCCTTTCTTGTGCTACTAAGAAAGTAATGATCAGAAGGGTTAGTGATTCCTCCAAGACCAGCTGTCTAGTGAAGAGTTAACATCCTGGTTTCTTCTGCATCCATCTACACACTAATTGACCCGGTGTCTGTTTATTAAGCATGTACTTTATGCTAGCCCCTGACTGACAAGTGTGCATGGGGGCTTCTGCCTAGGTATGTATCTTACCACTGGCAACTTGTAATCTAATGACAACTAAGTAGACACCGATTTCAAAGCTGACACATGTAACTGTAACAGAGAAGGCAACTATGGTTTTTATAGGAAGTCTTTAGACCATGTGAGACATAGTTATTGGCTTGGGAGCTGTTGGAAGAATTTACATTAAGACTTAAACCCAGGAAAGGTAGCCATATGGAGGGGTAGAGAGATAGAGAGGAAAAATCAAACAAAATGAAACTTCTTCCTAGACAGATCAGCAAATGCAAAGGTCCTGAGGCAGAAATGAGTGGGGGTGGGGCATGTATGAGGAAAGGGGTTGGATGATGGGAACCTGTGGTCAGGATTTGCCTGTTCACGGTGTGCTGAGGGTGCTGAGCACACTAGTGTCAGACTTAACTCCTATTTTAATTCTAACGTTGCAGAGAAATGGGAGACAGGAGAGGGGCAGCCTGGAGGCTTCCCATTGAGCTGTGGTGTGTCTGGCTTCAGTTCTGTGTACCTCTCTCACCCCTTCATCCCCTTTTCTATTACTCAATTTAATCTGACCCTTCCCATGCCAAAGATTTTTCCATTGCCCCAGGATTTTTCAGAATGCTCCACCCCACCAGAACTACTTTGGAGATAGATACATTTGTTTCAAAATGGTAACTAGGAAAAATAAGGCCCGTGTGGTTCCTCAGAGCACAAACCAGATCAGGGTATCACTGGTGTGTCTTTGTGGTGGTCTACCATATAGCCTTATTTTCATCCTCCTGGTGGGGATCTCCATGACTGGAAGTGACAGGACCAGTCCTTCCTCACCTTCATCCTCCTCCTCTATGTTGTAAAGAATTAAGGATTGGGGATCCATGGCAGTCACTTGATCCAGAGACTCGTAGTGGAGCAGTGAGCAAGGGACCAATGTTCTGAGTCCCTGGCAGTTAGTTTGGTTACAAGATCCTTAACTATGAGAGGAGACTCTGGTCCTGATGTGAGTCAATGCCCCCCATGCTGAGATCAGAATGTCTAATGGATCTGAGCCCAGCCTGTTCAGGTCCATATCCATTCTCAGGAGGCCAGTGGCTAGGTTGGGGAATTTGTGCTGTCTTCTGATACATGTGTCAACTCAGACTACAGACTTGTAACTACAGACATTTGTTACAAGTAGTTTTCCCGCCAGCCTGGTCCCAGAGTCAAGTCAGCTCCAAGTAACACACGGAGACTCTGTATTAGATATAAAGCTGTTGGCCTGTTAATAGCTATTGGCTAGCTCTGTCTTAAATATTAACCCATTTCTATCAATCTAAGTGTTTCCACATGATCTTATCTTACCAGAAAGAGGGTCTGGACCTTCTTCTCCCTCAAGTCTCTACATGTTGAATCTCCTACTACATCTCCCAGGATCCTCCTTGTCTCCTAGTCCCACCTATCTTGCCTTCCTATTTGCCAACAGTGCTTCATTCCTGGTCATTTGGGGGAGTTCAACACCCATCACTACTGCTGTAGATTGGGGATTTGGTCTGGGTTCAGATTTGAGCAACTGTCTAAACCTTTGTATCACTTTTTGAAAAACATTTGTGTGTATGTATGAATGTATGTGTGTCTGTGTGCATTGTGGGTGGATGTGTGTATATGTATGCATGTGTATATGTGTGTGTGTTAGGGATGTGTGTGTGTGTGTGTGTGTGTGTGTGTGTGTGCATGCGCGCGCACAAGCGCGCATGCATGCTATATGTAATGATGGCATGTATATGAGGAAGTCAGAGGAAAACTTTTGGGATTTGCTCTTCTTTCTAGCATGTGGATCCTGAGACTGAACTCAGTGGTGGCAGTCACCACAGAGCCATTTCACCAGCCCCAAGCCCTTGGTTCTCTTTATATCTGTTTTCATTTGGGGCCATGACTGGGGTAACTCTACAAGCTTTTACAGCTTACCAAGCCCTCCTCAATCCCCTTAATTCCCAGTAGGACTGGGTAGGAGAATGGAACAAATATGTTCCCTTTTACCTTGTAGAAGAGGGAGACCAGTCATTACCCGTGTTTCTACTCGGATACAGGGTCAGAGGGTTGGGGGAGGGGGATTGTGGCCTAAGGACTCTGTCTGGGCTGTTTGTAGCAATGGAAGGGAGAGTCAACCGAGAGCCTGAGAGCCGTGGAGCCACAGGGCACCAACAACCTTTTCCTCTTGGCTCAGCACTTAAAAACAATGCGGTTTTGAATGTGTGCATGGAACATCCAGGTTTCCTGGGTTTAGTTCTCCCTCTCTGCCTTTGTGTCCCCTGGTGAACCTGCTCAGCCATGAAATGCTCTACTCCTGCCAATCCTAACCAGGAGGTGGCAGCAAAGCATTCTAAAACCCAAGGGTGCACGGCTACCAGGCTGGATGAACTTGGGTTTCTCCCAGGCCACTGCCAGCGCAGGGGATGCCCAGTCTCCTCATTGTGTGTCCATTGTGGTTATTTTGGTGCTGTTGGCATCTAGTTAGTTTTTACTCTCTGCACGGTATAGAGGAAGTGTGGGAATTCCTGCATTAACTTACAAGGGGGCGGGCATTCCTGACTTGGCTGGAAACTGAACTTGAAGTAGAGAAAGGTAAGAAAGTCTCCTATTAACAGGGGCGTAAGAAAAATCATGATATCTTTTCTTGAGTCAGGTTTTCAAAAAGCATTTACATAAAAAGTCTCCCTAGGCTTGTGTTTCTCTTTCATTCCCTCTGGATACTATGACAGGGGAAGTTGGGGGGTGGGGAGCTACTGCAGATGAAAATGTAAGAAATAACACAGTTGCTAACAGACTGACCACAGCTGAATGCAAAGGAAAAATGCAAATTATATGTTAATTTCCCCACACTAGAGATGCTTATTTGCATATCCCAAGGAGTGACCTTAGGAAAAGTGTCCCCAGTGATGAATCTGCCCCTTCTTTCTGGTAAACAGAATCAGTTGCATTACTAGCCTATTTGATCACGGGCTTTCTTTAGAGATAACCGTTTCTTCTTTCTAATTCTTTCTGGAAAAGATGTCAGCAGCCCTCTGAAGCTTCATCGGACAGAGACTTTTCCCACCTACCGGTCTGAGCACTGACAGCAACTGCCAAGAGCTGTTAGCACATTTGTGCTGCTCCAGCTGCAGACCTAGGCAGGGGGACACAGAGGGACAGCCAGAGAGAGTACAGAACAAGGAAGAGAAGCAGCTTCGCATCCTGCTAACGTGTGTGGCCATGGGGAGTGCTGTGATACAACACATGTACATATATATTTTTCCCTTCTGTTTTTCCTTTTCTAAAGACACAGTCCTAGCCTCGCCAAAATACGCTGGATAATATTGACCCACCCCGTGCTTACAGCTGGACAGAAGGAGTCAGTGTCGTTGCTACAGACTGATTTTCTATTGTAGACAAGCCCCCTTCCCCCAACCCCCTGCACATCTCTGAGTCTGTTCTTTTGTGGATTTGTGCTATTTTCCTCGTAAATGTTTCAGTTGTATGACAGTCGATGACAATAAAGCGTCTCTTCATTATTTGCCGTGTCTTTGCACACCACCCCTCAGTGATGAATGCTGCCATTCGGGTGCACCCATGGACTCCTACTTGGTTATGTCTCCAACTAGTTAAATCAACATTGTCACTCATTCTTCTCACAGAAGAGTCCTTTCAAAGGACCCTTGAATACCTTTTATAAGGCCACAGCCACTCAACGTCCTCTCGCCCTTCAAGAGCCTGTCTTCGGAGTGGAGTGTTGATTTAAGGCATTTAAAATAAGCAACCATTGCCATCCATGTGCTTCTTGGATTCTGGTGACAGTTTTCTCTGTCCTTGGTGTTCCTGGAGGGTGGGCACACTGGGAATAGAGTTCTGCATTGTGCTTGGTGCAAATCCAGCCATGGACACATCTTTCTGCTCACTCATTAAGCTAGTCTAGAGTCTATTAGTTCCCAGTGCTCAGCTGGACTCTGGGGACATAAAGCACAAGGACTCAGGTTCTGTTGTCAAGGACCCTTTATTCCAGAGGAGGTCATCAAGGAAATAAAGATGCAATTACAGTACTGAGTGACACCTGCTCAATGGGCCTCCAGGGGCGATGGGCTTCTAAAAAGAAGGTCATCCTGTTCTCCAGGCTGTGTCACTGGGGAGACACCACAGGGGAATTGAATCTTGTGAGCATTTGAGGTTATGTTCCTGCAAGGCTGGACAAGCAAGCTGGGGCCCTGTCTGCCCTTGTTCATGCTGTGTCCAATAGCAGTTGCCAGAATAATACAAGGCAAAATTCCTAATTAAACCTGAACTTCTGGTAAGTATGGCTTACAGTTTTTATGGTGGAAATGGGGTCCAAATACCACTTGGGGCAGGGTTATGTTTTACAGTGTCCATCACATATATTAAATTCAAACTGACCTTGATGGTCTGTGTGTTTCTTTGCTGAGTCTGACAGCTGCAATGTCCAGCCATAGAGCTGAGCCTGGCACAAAGCCTGTACCCCTGATAGATGTATGCCAGATGGACAGATGGAACTAGAATCTTAGATTCATACCCCTGGGATGGGGTTCTTTCTATATGCATGCTTCTCTATATCAGGCCCCTCTGAAATTAGCCCTTTTCATGGAAAAAAATAACTATCTAGAATTTTAGGGGGAAAAAAAGGAAAACCTGTACAGCCCTCAGAAGAGCCTCAGTAATCCCATTGCTGTTTGAACCTTTCCAGAGGGACTCAAAGGGGAGAGTTGGGGGTTCCAAAGACACTACTTGTCTAGGCTTTTCTCAGGGGTTGAGAGATCTCAGGAGAGAGGATTGGGTTCAGCTAGCAATTAATGAACGGGTCATAGGTGGCTTGGTGTGTGGGCCTTCCCAGAATGCACCTGTAAACCCCTGGATTCCCCGCAGCCTTTTTCATATCTTCCTTCTCCCAGATGTATCCATTTTCATCCCTTAAATATGTGGTTTGTGAAAGCTTAGCCTCTCTTTTACTGCTCTTTTTTTTTTCTTTTTTCTCCAGGTTATACCTGGCTTCTCTTTTCTTTTGCTTTTCAGCCGGTCTCATAAGCGATTCTCCCAGATTCCCTTGGCCTTGGCAGACAATGAGGAGATTAGGTTGAGGAGCAGATAAAGGAAAGGGAATGAAAGAAATAATTATAATTTTAATGAAGTCGAAATTGCCAACGCAAGTCTCCAGCTCATGGCGTGGTGCAGAGGGGTGTCACTGAATAGTTAGCTGCAAGCCCGGCCTCTTTGGAGATCTTTAGGCAAGGAACTGTTGATAAGAAAGAGACTTCTCCTTTGAGCACTCTGACCCTGACTCCCACTGGAAGCATTTCAGTCCTTTGGTGTTGTTTGCTTCCTGCAGAAGCTCAGGGAAGTAAGTTTTGTTAGTGTCCCCTTTCCTGCTGGGCAGTCTCAAGCAATGCCCATAACTAATTGCTACACCCATCCTCACCTACCTACTGGGTGGGAGACTCAAGTCAAGACTCAGGCCACCAAATTCCCAAGCCTGTACTGTAAGCTGGCAACACAGCTGCCTGGGGGTAGAGACAACTCCCAGAAAAGATTAGAACGTAGGTATTGCAGGTTGTGTGCATTGGTCTCTGTTGCCCTCCCATTCAAAAGTAGGCATAGATGGATTAGCATGGCTGTTTCAATAGAGTTTTAGTCACAAGCGCAAGGAACAAGATATCCATCCATGATGTAGCTGCCAACCTCTGTGCCCGGGCTGGATGACAGGAGTCCCGTGTAGTCTTTTAATAGTTTTAGATTTTTTCAGGCCATGCCACGAGGCAGTTAGTACTCTGCTATCTGCCCTTCAGTCGCTGCAATGTTGGTTTGAAGTGAGTTTGTTTTTGCAAATCTTTCACTCCAGGGTTAATGTACAGGTGCTAATGGGGGTGGGAGAGAAGCAGCACTAGGCTTAAAAATGATTGGAACTGAATTCTAAGCCACACAACAGCGCTGTCCATAATCTGGAGGCTAAACTATGGGACACTTGGGTGTTTTAATTGTCCCGCGGGGCAAGTGGCGCTGGGGTTGTTCGAGTGGGAATCACAGGGTAGGAGGGTGAGCTGCCCTCCTCTGCACACTCAGACCATTGTTGCAAAGATCTTTCATCTACTTGAAAGAAGAGGCCACGGACAATGAGGAGTGTCTTGTATTTCTGGAATTCAATGGTGTGCTAAGTGTTAATTTAGTTAGACTCAGCGGTGGGCGCGCCAGGTTACACATACCAGATTGCTATAGGTATTGTGCTCCTGAATTCAGAAGGACAATTCATGGGCTCAATGTATTTAAGTCAATTGCTAGAAGAATGGGGGGGGGCATTAAAAGTAGTGTACATTTATATGAAGGGATATTCTACTACTGGGGAACAACATTTCACTTTGAGAGGAGATACAGTGTGTGTGTGTGTGTGTGTGTGAATGTGTGAGTGTGTGTGTGTGTGTGTGTATGTGTGAGTGTGATATGAGTGTGGTGCCTGGACCCACATAGTGAGGCCAGAATAAGGTGGCGGATGTCCCCTTCCATCATTGTGACTTTACTGCCTTGAGAGGGAGGCTCTTGGTCCACCAGGAGCTGCTGGAATCTGCCTTCCTGACACCCCCCCCCCCAGCGCTGAGTTAGAGCTACACACAGCAACACCTTGCCCTTTATGTGTTTCCTAGGGATTCAAACTCACACTTGCAGATCACCAACTGAACCATCTCCCCATCCCCAAGGTTGCAACTCCTGGAGAAATCTTTCCTTACTGCCAGAACACGTACACACGTGTTTAGATCTTCAGTGAGTAACCACATCTATTTCCTTTTCCTAACGAGGCACTGGGTTCTGTAGGTTGAATTTGGGGTGGAGGTATGTATGCCTGTTAATGTTGGCTCATTTCAATGTGACCTGCTTGAACCATTCTGCTCTGATGGGCCAGCTGACACAGGACTGCCTGGTTGAGCACTTAGCAGAATCTGGAGAAAGAAAGGGGTCGTCATTCACACTGTCTCCATCTGTTGGTAAGACATTCATCCCAAGGATGGTGGTGGAGCCCAGATCTACACTTGGTGTTGCAATCTCCAGTTAATCTCAATGCGCTTGGTAAATGTCATCAAATCCCACTCATGGGAACCTGGATGGGTGGCTGAAATAGAGAGTGCCTATCAGCATCAGATTCAATTTAGCACCAGCTAGGTGTTCCCATTCAAAATGCTCATGGGGGATCAGCTGAGTGCACCTAGTTTGATTTGAGGACTCAAGGGGAGCCCTCACTCTCCTGGCTTCTCTCTAGCTGTGAGCCCCAAGAATTCGAGCACCCAGGTACCAAGATGACAACGATGTGTGCAGTTGCGCACAGACATGGACGATGTGTTGTGACTATAGCTCTCCAAGTGTCACCTGCCTGGCATTTCCAGCACCTTTGCAGTGTTTGCTTTGTTGCTATAACAACTAACAAGGAGATTCGGTTTGGCTTCCTTTGTTGCTCTGAGATGCCTGAAGTGCAAAGCCTCCAGCGCTGCTCTTTTCTAAAGGAGAAAGCCCAGGAGAAGCTTCAGCAGCAGGTCCAGCTGGGAAAGGCAAGGCAGGGCGGGCGGGGAAGGAGGTGAGTGAGGTTCCCATGGTTGCAAATGAATGTGCTGAGCCTCCACCAATGATGAAGCCTACAGGCCCCCTCCCCTCCCCTGAACACAGCAGCAAGCATTTGCTTTTGGTTCTTGTTGGTGCTGCCTTCCTCTGCTTCCCAGAGCAGATGCAGCTCAGATTCACAGACACCACAGGACACACATTTGTTCCACATTTTCCAAGCCTTCGCTGCTCCTGCTTGAAGTTCTATTGAGCCTTAATATTTGCAGTGTTTGCACTGGAAACACTCCAGGGCCAAGGAGCTGCTTCATCACCTGGTTGGTTATTTATTTTCTCAGTGTTTACTCTCAAGGCCAGATAGGAGCACGATGAGGTGTGTAGGTTGTGAGGTTCAAACTCCAATGCCAGGAAAGGAAGAAGGTCAAACGAGGACTGGAGCTTGAAGAGATTTCCAGGAGCCAAGGAGAGCTAAGACAGTTTATTTACCAACACACAAGTGGCTCTGCAGACAGCCTCCAGCAGGTACCCTTTGACATACATGGGTCACACACAGGTGGGTTCAGGCACACATGCAGACCACCACATAGGCCACACAGTGGTAGGCA